CCCCCCCACCAAAATGGTCAATCAGACCAGGTGGAACCTTTGTCCCAACAGCTAGGAATGACACGACGGAAAGTATAACCCCGAGATGTGATTTTTTTCTTGCAGAACGCCCCGGCTACCCTGACGATGAGTTTGCTCGGGCCAGTCGCAACCTTGCTGCAGCTTTTCTCGGCTTACTAGTCCAACACCAAAAACGAGCACAAGGCAACACGCAGCTACGAAAAAAACGCAGCGAACGGCAGGCGGCTCTGCCTGCTGTTACCGTTTTTTGTGGTGCACTGCGCCACCCCCTCCCTGAGTGCAACCCGACGAAGCGGCTAATGCGACGAAAACAGTTCAAGACAAAGCAGATGTACCATAGGTTGCATAAGATATCACACCCCCTGGGCCGATTTTCAAAGATCGATTACTCCACGAAGAAGAGGACGCCGAAATGAAGTATACGTTTTCGGGAAACTCTCGACGAACCCGTTCCAACGCCTAACGCCATTTTCGGCACCGTCACTGATTTTCCAGCTTCGAAAGAAGGTACAATATCAAGCTTGGACAATTGTTACAGGGGGTGTGATATCTTATGCAACCTACTGTAGTCTCGTCCTCCCTGCGTAGACGACAAAGATTGCGATGGCTGAGAGACTCCCTATGTCGACGATAGAGATGGCGCATGCACCTCGACTGTGATGTGGGTACCCCAGACTGATTCTGCTGCACCCTCCACCCCCCCCCTCTGAGGCCCATCAAGCCCCAGAACAACAGATAGCATTACGGCCTGCTACGTTAATACTCCATGCGGGTAGCTGTGGCGGGCTGCGGATATGGCCGCCGAGTGCCTGTGGAGGCCGGTACAGATCCCGCTTGGGACCGAGGTCGCGAGTAGTCCACCGGTTCATCGCGCTTGGAGCGGCAGTAGGCCAGCGTCTGCAGGACGACGAAGGCGGTGATAACGGCGATGACTAGGAAAATGTAGAGGGCCCACCAGACGTCGTCCACTTCTAGGAGGTCGATACCTCCCAAACACTTTTTTATTTTTGTACAGATGCCATAGTCCACGGCGGTGGTAGTCCATCGCAGTAGTCGTCGTTTTATTTTGTCGCCAACATCGTCCATGCAACGGCAGCGTGGAAGAATTGTAGCCCATAGCAGTAGTCATCGTTTATTGTCGTCACCATCGTCCATGCAACGGCAGCGTGAAAGAATTGTAGTCCACAGCAGCATTCGTCATCCCACCATTGAGTTTATTGTCGTCACCGCCATCATTCATGCAGCGGCAGTGTGGCAGCACGGTAGCGAGAGGGAGGAGATAGGCCAAGGAGAGATGGGAATGATCCGGGTAAGAGCGTAGTTGACAGAAATCGCGCCATTAGGTTTTATCGTTATCATCACCCATCCAACAGGCAGTGTGGCACGTGCCATGAAATGTCCGAAGGAGCACGCACGATGAGTTCAAGAACAGGAAGGACAACCCGGGCGACGGCGAACAAACATCAGGCATTATTACAACGGGCCCTGAGCAAACAGATGCGAAAGCCGAGAGAGCTAGTTGCTCAAACCATATGACGAAAACATTTGCCTCCATTTATGATACCGTTGTGTATACACCACGGATTCCCACATAGTGCGGCAGCAACAAAAATTTACTTTCTAACAAAAAAAAAAGCCGTTGATGATCCATGGCCTCAGGTAGCTGAGGGCACCAAACCCCAGACCTTAGCATCAAGAGCGAAACTTTTCACCGCCGTCCTCACCAGCACTTCTCACAACGCCAGGTTCAGGTTTTTCATGCGAAAATCTTGAAACGCAAGGCCCCCCACGTGTCTGAAGGCACCTACCTACACAGTAGCTTTGCTGCCTGCATAAGAAAATGGACTAAATACCAGCGTACAGCGATGAACAACCAAAGACTGCCTACCTGGAACACTGCCCAGGTGACGGTGATGTACCCCAAGCCCCTGTGCAGTAGAGTCCACGCCTGCCGCACCTTGCTCACTGGAGCCGGTTTCTGCCAGGCAATGGGCACCAACATATGTGGAAGTAGGTAGCACCAGCTGGCATCACGTGTATTAGACAGCGTACATAGCGTAAACAGACCCAAGATAAGACCAGCGTCCAGCCGGTCTTTTCTCCCACCCACCGCAAAGATTTTCACCTCACCTCACCTCACCTCACCTCATCCCTTTCGACTGCCGTGGTAATATCTCCAACGGGAAATCTGGCTGTCATTGTACGTATATCATCTACAATTCCTTGTGGTAAACACAGGTAGGGTCCGCATTATCTTGACCGCGGCTAGTTTTGTCAATGGGGTAGACTACTGTATCTCCACGGCGACTACAATATGTAGGTTTTACTGTAGCCTTCTAACTTGAGCATTCATTCTTACCGGAAAGTTTTTGTATCTTCATCATTTATAGGCTCAAGGTTCTTAACTACTAAGTTCTGCACATGCACGGCTGTGAATAGACTCTAGCTTACATGTGCCTTGTACAAATAGACACAACATCGCGACGTGCATCTCGTTCATTGTTTTCGCAAGAAAAATTACTGCAAAGGAAGTACGCATGTAGGAAGTCCCAATTTTCCGACGAACATGAACAGGGGGGACTAGGACTTGTACGCCACGTGTGACTTGGTACACGGCACCCTTTCGGGACGCTGGTTTCGGTCACCCCCGTGGGTGACGCACCACTAGAAGCGGAAAGCATTGTTCATGGGTTGGTGTATGTTGTAAATAGTAGTAAAAGTGAGGGTTACGGTTACGAACGATTTCTCCGCGAAGGATGACACCCTAAACGGCGCTGTCGACAGATCTCGCTTTTATCCCTCAGGGGGCACGTCATCAGCCATCGGTTCCCCTGGAGGATTGCATGCGTGCGCGGCGTGTGACCAGCTAGCCTCATCTGCATTGTCGCAGGCAGCAGGCTTGTTTTGACACAGGAGCACGCGAGCAGCTCTCTCCGTAACGTCTGCCTGCCCCGTCTACCCCGCCCTGTGTCTCACCGCCTGGCCATTGGCGTCTTGAATCACAGCTCCCGCCGGAGGTTTGCTCGGCCGGAAGACAGCCGCCAAGACTTGCAGCATCACGAAGATCGTCAGGACTAACCCGGCCTTGCCGTGTGTGTTGGAGAAGTGGTCTGGCAGAGAAAAAAAAAAAAAAAACGTCCGGTAGCGCAGCAGCAGGCGTGTTTGTAGTGGATTGCAACGGTTTTGTTTGCCTGGGACCATGGAAGGAAGTAATCCGGGTCGTCGTTGGACCGTTGCGGGTGGCACAAGGTACAGCAGACTATTAGGATGGGACAAAAATGTGCCGACAGAATACGGAACGTTAATTAACGGCAATTAATATATTTACGACACCGCACGGAGCGTTGCGTGTAAAAGACCACGGGCATGATAATAACGCCGCCCCCGACAAAAAGCGACAACGCTCACACTGACCTAGGCCGAAGTCTTCTGTAAAGGCTACCGCGCAGAAGAACCCAATGATCACGAAGACGCTACCCAGGCTCTGGAGCAGCCGGTGGGCGGGGAAACCAATGTCCTTGAAGCTGCTTGAGAAGCGGGCGTACATAATGCCCGCCGGGAAGCAGAGAGTCCAGCCGAGGGCCATGAGCCTTGTCGGGGGGGGGGGGGGGGGGGGGG